CCCTTATATATATACATATATTTGCTATTTGCTTTATATATTATTATTTGTATGTATTCAAACAGTAACATAAAATGTTATTAAATTTCATTTCAGAGCATATATGGTACATAATTCAGTGTCATAATGTTCACACCACAGATCAGGTGAGTACTTTTTTAAATTTTTTATGTGATTTATATATATTTTACATCTAGTAATAAATTATTTAATGAATAATTTAATTAATGAGATGTAATAATAAATAAATTAATTTATTCGTCGTTTTATTTTCAAAATGCAAATGATGGTTTAATTAACTTATACTTACGCTTAAAATTATAAGTAAATTAAATTATTTAAAAAGACAAAAGGTAGTACCTTCTTCTACTTACTACATTTTCATGTAGTGGTTCTTAAATGAACTATTGCAATAAAAACTGCTTGTATTTGTTAATAGATATGTTCATTCATCACTTATAGTCTTCCTGTCAAGAATACAAATAAATGAAAAACTACTAAAAGGAGCTAACGTTAATTAAATCAATATCAAAATATGAAAATATAAATTAAGATAAATTGATAATGATGAAGTTAATCTATTTGTTGTGTTAGCTGTGGTGTTAAACGTGTGTATTTAGATGTCTTCTATGGCATGGTGACAAGCCCGAAACTCTCGTCGGTTCTGGAGGTGGCGTCTTGGGATCAGTATTACACAGCCGACATCAATCAAGAAAAACTCTCGTGTCATGCTTTTGATTCCTATCGGTCGCAATGCCTCCCTCGCAATGTCACTATTTACACGGTTAGATTCAGTCATCCTTCCCTATACCTATGAGTGGTGATGTGACTCTCTATTTCTGTATAGTGTTAATACAGATCATACTCTTATCATACTCTATCATACCCTATCATACTCTTGTTTATCCGTCACTTAGTCACTAAATTATATCATTCAAATATAATCCCTTAGGTATCATACCACAAGTATGTGTAGACGATTTAAATTGAAACAAATAGACTCTGGCATTCATAACACTCTATTATTCTTTATTCTTGAAATATTCACACAGATTATTTCAGTGATTTTTATAATCAGTGACCTTTGTTATTGGTAGCTTGAATAATTCAATTGTATTCGATAGATACATTCGGAAAAACTTATGGAAAGCTTGTACTCAGTATTAGGGCACGTCTAAGCTAATGCCATGAGTTGGCTTTGTAGAGCATGTATTTATTGTAAATTCTTTATTTATTAGCCAATAGCTTAATATTAATTTTGTACTAATTACAATTTAAAATTATCTTATTTAATTTGACTTTCAAGCTTGAGTTCGTGAATAATATTGAAACGTTTCATTAGTATTCATTCTATTCGCAATCAAGTATTCGCAGTCTTACTATTAGTATATCATCCTGTAGGATTGGGGCATATTGCATTTGCCTTAAGTACCAACATCAGCTAAGCTTATCATGCTGCCAAATGACTTAAAGATATAATGTAATATCAATGCATAGACTTTAACGAGGGAAACCTGGTAACAAAGGGTGGAGTTTCCTCTTGAAAGACATAGATATAGTTTTAAATACCTCAGAAATATCAAGTCTTTGTCATCTGTTATTTGCGTTTTTGCTTAGCGAACATATTTAACCATCATATGAGAGCACATGCTCAGTAAATATGTTAAAATTAATCTGTTTTTTCAGTTTTGACTGTGTGTCTAATTTCTCTAGACTGACAGCTACTTCAATACCTTTAACATCATTACATTTGGTAATTCAGAACATTTTGAATTTTATTTAAGTTTGGAGTGATTGTTAGCATTTTATTAACTTTTCAACAAAAGTGTTGTGAGCTACCGTTGCTAACTCATAGAGTTAGGTCTATAGAGTTAATTGTCTATATAGAGATTCATTTTTGCAAGGATTAGGAGTTTGTGAAAAACAAAGAGTTCTTTTGTTTTCTTGAAAGTATTTACTTCAAAAATTCAATTTTGTAATAATATGTTAGCCATCCTATATATTATTAAATTTAATATTTACATCAGCCAGTCATTATATTGTATTGCAGTATAGTAAGCATTTCAAATAACTTGAAATAACTACAAAATAAGTTACTTTTCATGTTAATTTTTTTTAAATTTCATACCATATAATATATTTTATAATCTAAATTCACTTAAGTTACGTTAAACGTTACTTCTTCTAACAATTCTTGCAACATCTCTACCTATCGTATATCTTTAATATGCAACTTCCCATATGAATGTTGCTGAAAAAAATGATTGCATTTATAATTCTCATTTCATTTAAATAATATATATTATATAAAGTTTCTATTTCACACACGGCAGTTGTTTCCAATATGAGTTTAATATAATTTTAATATGTTGTTTTTTTGAGCCAGTGCACTTGAGCACTTTACTCTCTAATAAATGAGAGGTATCTAAAAAGCCCCTCTTTACGCCTTGACTGGATTATTGTTTATCGATTCACCAGATTAACAATAATTGATTAATCCAGTTGAAATAAATGTTTGGACTTGTGTTACTGTTAATAAAGAAATATTTAAATTATTTTAGTATATACCTTTCGATGGTATATTGTTATTTTTTCCTTGTACATAACTTTTTATAATTCCATTTTGCAAATATTTTCGAATGTATATAGAATAGTACTTTCTATTTGATATATAAATAAAGTCGTAATATTCTACGTTAAATTGCTAAAGGACGACCGTCAGGTCAACTATAAATCGTATCAATCATAATCTAAAAAGCACAAAAAAAATAGTTGGAAAGTAATTTATCTAGTGTGGTTTTAAAGGAGAAAGTCATAGAAAAACTAATTTTAATGTTTTGACGATTATTCTTTATATACTAAAAGACAGAAGATGTAATTTATTTTGGTTATACGAGAGTAGCTATTTATATATTGAGCCTTATATTCAAAAAATACTAAATTGCCGTTTGACAATTTATTTGATTTATTGTTTGTCGAAGTATTCCTTTTTACGTCTATGATTAATACACTTTTGCTTGCGTTTGAACCATTTGTCAAAGCATTTTTTCCAATCTTCTTCAGACACCTTTCAAACATGGTTTTTTAATACAGTAACGGCTTCTGCAGCCGACAAAAATTGTTGTCCACGGAACTCATTGTTTACGTTCGGGAAAAAGAAGAAGTCATTGGGTTCCAAATCAGGACTGTACGGCCATCTGCATAACCCATCAATTTGATTTTTAGAATGTTCTAATAGTCATAGGCTTGATGAAGAATGATCCCACGCCGCTTGTTTGCTTTCCGTATTTTACTAAACAAATGATTTTATACCATTCGGAAGTGAGCAGTTTATGTTTCTGTAGTAATGTATATGGTGTAGTTGCCACATGACCAGTTTCCCGAAAAAACAAGCGACCATTTGTTTCAAAGTGCTTCAAACGCAAAGAATTTTTGTTAAATTTGATTCTTCTTGAAACACTCATACTGTCGATTGCTATTTACGTTCCAGCTCATACGTCATGAGTCGTCACCTATTACAATCGTACGTCGCGTCTTATGAAGCACCGCTATTGTACACGAGCATTTTTTTTGAGTTTTTGTCATGTTAAATGATGAGGAATGGGATCCAACGATCAGCATCAGTTTTTGCACAGTATTAATGTTTTCTGGTACCACAAGTGATTTTGAACGACCTTCACGAATTTCGTCTTCGATAGTGAGCGAACTGTGAACTGCGACCAAGAATGAAACCATTGTACCAGCCTTTCAATTTCACAGTGGCAAAGGATGGAGCTTCAACGCTAAATGTGGAAGTAAGTTGATCGATTCACTCTCCTGTCTTTATAATCCATATCGAAAGTCGTAATACCTAAATCATCACGAAAATTTTCTCACGTTAAAATTCTCTCATATTTTATAATGTCAAACTTTCGTATGGAAACGTCAGATGGCACCTGACAACAATTAGCGTTGCGAAGGCTCAAAATATAAAAAGTAACTCTCGCATATA